AGGAATTGTGAAAAAATCTAGGTTGAAAGTTTAAATTTTAAGATAGGGAGAGTAGAATTTACAAAAATTTCACATATAATTTAAAAGTTTTTTTTTTTTTTTTTTCATTCTTATTGTAATTTATTATAACTGCTTACATTTGTACAAACCAGCTCCCCACTTTTGACAATTGTAATTGAATCAAGTCCATTCATTATGATTGTGGTGCTCAGTTTTATCACACAAGTTATTATAAAAGTTGATATCTTTTTATATGTACTGTAAGTCTTCAAATTCTGGCTGGTATTGGTTTTGTTTTCAGTGTTTCTGTTTCATTTGCTGCTTAAATGAAAAGGTCATGCTTAGATGTATTTTGTATGTGGATGAGGTGGATACATATGTACGTTCATCTGACTACATGTTGTAGGTAAACGGCATGCCTATTCTAATCTTGGCTACCTGGTGCTGGGGATGGCTCTAGAGAAGAGACTGGGGCTGAAGTATGAGGACCTGGTGCATGAATGTCTGGGGGAGATCACCAGGGACATGTATGTTGGCACAGCCAAGAAGTCTGTTGAGGACCCTGAAGAGGTAATCCGTCAGTCTTTTTGTAGAGATACATGTAGTTCAGCTATACATAGGACTTTGCACAAGTAAAATGTTTTCTAGTGGGAATCTGCCTCAAACTTGAAAATGGAATCTGTCTGCCGCACTTAATTTGCAGGCATGATATATCTAGGACTTTGAAGAGGCAATCTATCTATCTATCTTAAACTAAGTTTAAGAGTATGCACATTTTTACACCCACAGGTTTTAGTAACCAACCAATTTAAAAGATGGGGGTTTTCAGCAGACAACTATTGATCTGCCATATAGAAGTTTAATATATTTATAAAATGGCTCAAATTTCACTAATCACATCTTTGTCGTAATCTGCTCAGATAATATAAACTGTTTATGATTGAAATAGCTTTATTTATATCCACACAGGTTGAGTATTACAGTAACCGTGAACCTAGTTTGGCTCCATCTGTGATACCTGGGGAGGGGCTGGTGACCCCTCAGTATGGCTCCTTCCTGATGGAGGACACTGGGTCGTATGGAGGCTGGGTGGCCTCGGCAGGACACCTCCTTGTTCTGTTTGACAGACTTACTGTCAATGAGTATGTACTCCAAGTACCACTTCTATGTTCAAGTAACAGTTTGTATAGCACCAAGACTGTTGGGTGTCAACATCAATTTAAGAGTGCAAAAAATACACGTATATATATAAGAATCAATTCAATGTTTCATAAAAAGAAAACTTACAAGTTAAATGTCAATTATATATAATGATAAATGATGTTAAATACCATAATATTTGTTCTGTTGTAAAATTTATATCACAGTGAGATGGTTATATGTTTTGTATATTTTGATATTTTTTTTCAACAGCCCAAGTATGCATATTTTGAGACCAGAAACATTCAAAAGAATGCTGCAGCGACCTAATTATGAAAGTGGAGAGGAGTGGTATGGCCTTGGACTGGATGTTCAGCACGGAGGTCACAGCTGGGGTCACACAGGGGCTATGGAAGGCACATCAACAACCTTTTTGCACCATAGGTCAGGGTTGAGCTGGGTCCTCTTACTCAACTCTTGGTCACGTGACATGGATTTAAATGGCCTTGTCAAATTTGCATTGAGTCATGTTCCACATCTGCCAATGTGGAATCCTGTGATGCCGTCCCTGTCTGAACTAAGGGCAGATAACTTTTATAAAGTTGTGTCCGAGGATAGGGTACAGATTGTATGTGTACTTCTACAGTATAAGGATTTGAGTACCCACATTGGAGAGCTTACTAATCAGGGGTATTGGATAACAGCCCTAAACATGTTTGTTCACGATAGTCAATTATACTTCAATATTGTTTGGAGAGTAAACAAAGACAACACCTTCTGGAAAGTAAATCACTATACGGATGAGGATCTTCAACTTTATCAGGATTTTCCAGAGGAATGTGAAACTGATTTATTTGTTGATATTTTAGATACATGTTATTATAATGAAAGAATTCATTACTTTTTTGTTTGTAAGATGAAAGACATCTTTATGAAAAGGATTTTGTCATTTCATGTAACTGGGAAAAATCATTTGGAACATTTGTCTAATTTAAAAAAACTAAATTATGATTTGAAAATACAATCAGTCTGTGTAAAGCATGGTGACATTTTAGTTTCGTCTGTTTTCTATCACAACGGAGGTAGTCCCAGTACAACCATATCCTGGCTACAAGTCACCCCCGACAACTTTGTATATGAGTTAGGTAAAAAGTTATCACTGGGCTTGTATGGTCTGGTGTATGTCAAGTTTTACACAGATGGAGATCTCCCGAGTGTAAGTATGGTCTTGACTTCAGAAAAGCCTTCTTTGTGTCTGCAGCGACATGATGTGTCCAGGTTTGGTTTTTTGTATGAACTTCACCAGAGTGCTGATGTCCCCATACAGTTCCTGTGTGGGTATAAATCGGAGGGCATTCTAAACTTTGCTTCAGTATGGGAAGTGCTCAAAAAAGGTCGACCAGTGATTGGTTAGCCAATACATGGAGGGACTGAAAGTGTACATGTAAGTGTGTGATTAGTCAGTCATATTGGGAACTATAAGGAACGAAAACAGACAGTGAAGTATCTGAACTGAGTTTAAAGATTAAAATGTAATAAAAGTGTTTTGTTTTAATTCATCAAATGCATTGTCTTCTTTTGGGAAAAGAATGATGAAATAACTTTACCCACATTTAGGCTGGGATCATGAAACTTGGTGTGTGCATCACTCATACTAAGATGATGTGAACTGTGCGATAGTAAGGACCCACAACCCCTTATTTACAGAGTTATTGCCCTTTGTTGGCCTTTGCTAAAATGTCGTGTTCAGAGCATAGCTTTGCCTGCATTTGAGATAGGATCATGAAACTTGGTGTATACATCAGTCATTCTAAGGCAATGTGCACTGTGCCAAATTTAGGGCTCACAACCTTTACAGAGTTATTGTCCTTTGCTAAAATGCTGTGTCAAAGCATAACTGTGCCTGCATTAAAGACAGGACCATAAAACTTTCCCTTGGTATATACATTAGTCATACTAAGGCAATGTGCACGGTACCAAATGCAGGGCCCACATCCCCTTAATTACAGAGTTGTTGCCCTT